GGAATTCTGGGAATTGAAGTCCGGACATCTTCAAGTTGCCAAGGTTGAGAAACACTGCCCTAACCACTGCTGGGGAATTCTGGGAATTGAAGTCCGGACATCTTCAAGTTGCCAAGGTTGAGAAACACTGCCCTAACCACTGCTGGGGAATTCTGGGAATTGAAGTCCGGACATCTTCAAGTTGCCAAGGTTGAGAAACACTGCCCTAACCACTGCTGGGGAATTCTGGGAATTGAAGTCCGGACATCTTCAAGTTGCCAAGGTTGAGAAACACTGCCCTAACCACTGCTGGGGAATTCTGGGAATTGAAGTCCGGACATCTTCAAGTTGACAAGGTTGAGAAACCCTGGTGTAGGGTCTTTCCTGCTTGGGCAGGGGGTTGGACTAGATGACCTACAAGGTCCCTTCCAACTCTTGTTTCCTTGCTAAGTGGAAGTTGAACTCAGGCCTGGCTACAAAGCATTCTTGAAATGCTCTCCCAGCGGATCTTTCTGAGGCTCAGGACTTCTGGGAGTTGAAACCCAGCAGCTGTAAAGCCCACCGTAGTTGATTCCCCCCCCTCCTCGAGGGCCTTGGACACACCTGCGGAGAAGGGCGATAGTTGTGTAAAGTCCACACTACACTTGGGTTGGGGTCTGTAGTCTCCAGATGCTACCTGCAGGGGAAGGGTCTGCCCCTCCTGTTTGCTAGCTCCCCGGGAGTCTCTCGGTGGTACAGAAAGTGCTTGGCTTACGACCGCAACTGAGCTCAAAGCTTATGTTGCTAAGTGAGACAGTTGTGTGAGACGTTGTCCTATTTTTAGTGATCTTCTTTGTCACGGTTATCAAGGGAATCCCTTCCGTTGTGACGTCAGTCATTAAACGAATCCGGCTTCCCCCATCAAACTTTGGCTGGTCCGAAGGTCGCAAAAGGGGATCACGGGACCCTGGGGCACTGCGACCGTCATAAAGACAAGTCAGCTGCCAGGCATCTGGATTTTGATGACGTGAGCACACGGTCGTAAGTGTGAAAAAACAGTCCTCCACCACTTTTCTCAGTGCTGTTATAACTTCGGACAGTCACTAAACAAGCTGTCGTTAAGTCGAGGACTGCCTGTGGAGCCTGACCCAGCAGACAGATGGTTCCTTTCCCCATTCCCAGCCTCAGTGGAAGACCCCTGGCTTCCCCCTCCCTCCCTCCCTCCCAGAGGACCCTCCCCCAGGATTTCCAGGGGAAGGGGGGGGGGGTTTCCAGCCACCTGCGTGTTGCACCAACCTGGGATACTTGCACAGTCCGTGTGATGGGGAAGGAGAGGGGGGGGGGCTTCAGGGAGCAGCCTCTGCCCTCCCCCCCCCATCCATGCAGCAAGGGAGACCCTGCCCCACCTTACTCCCTCCTCTCCAGCCCCAGGCTCCAAAGGGTGTGGGTGTGTGTGTGTGTGTGTGTGGAAACTGCTAATACCCAGCTTGCTGCTGTGTGTGGGGGGGGGGGGCTGCTGGGCCCAGGGAAGCCCTCCTACCCTTTTTCCAGAACCAAGTGTGTCTTTGTGTGTGAGTGTACGTGTGGTGTGTGTCAGATTTCCGAAGGGGGCAGGGAGGCACTCCCTACAAGAGAGAGCCCCATTGGGGGGGGGGAGGGGGGGGCTTGCCAACAAAGGCTTGTTTGTGTGCCTGCTGCTTCCACGCAGCCCCCTGGCAGAGCTGCCAAACAGGTTGGGCCGGTTCTGCCCCTTGGAGAAGTGGGGGGCGCAAGCTTGCTTGCTTCTTCTTTCTGGATCCCTTAACCCTTGGTGGGTCTCCTCCCTTTGGCCAGAGGGATCCCTGCTTTGTCTGTGCGTGTGTGTGTGTGTGTGTGTGTGTGTCCCAGGCCCTGGTGGGGGGGGACGGGGCTCCTCCTCAGGCCCCCCTCTTGGCCCAGGGGCCTGGAATTCGAAGGGTTTGGTTCTGGATGGGATCCCTGCCTGGTTGAACCCTTCCCAGCCCTGCCTTGCTCTCCGCCACCGGCCAAAGGGTTCTGACTGGAGAAGCCTGGAATGTGCACCCCTTCCCATCTCCACCCCCTCCTTCTCCCCAAAGGGGGAACTGGCTGTAGGTCCCGGAATGCAGAATAACAGAACTGGGAGGGAGGTTGGAGGTCTTCTAGTCCAGCCCCCTGCGGGAGAGACTATACGCCTAGACCAGGAGTGTCCAAACTTGAGAACTTTCACGCTTAGGGACTTCAACTCCCAGAATTCCCCAGCCAACTTAGGACTTCAACTCCCAGAATTCCCCATATCACTTAAGATTTGTGGACTTCAACTCCCAGAATTCTCCATATAACTTAAGACTTCTGGACTTCAACTCCCAGAATTCCCCATGTGACTTAACACTTCTGGACTTCAACTCCCAGAATTCCCCATATAACTTAAGACTTCTGGACCTCAACTCCCAGAATTCCCCATATAACTTAAGACTTCTGGACCTCAACTCCCAGAATTCCCCATATAACGTAAGACTTCTGGACTTCAACTCCCAGAATTTCCCATGTGACTTAAGACTTCTGGACTTCAACTCCCAGAATTCCCCATGTGACTTAACACTTCTGGACTTCAACTCCCAGAATTCCCCATATAACTTAAGATTTGTGGACTTCAACTCCCAGAATTCCCCATATAACTTAAGACTTCTGGACCTCAACTCCCAAAATTCCCCATATAACTTAAGATTTGTGGACTTAAATTCCCAGAATTCCCCATATAACTTAAGACTTCTGGACCTCAACTCCCAAAATTCCCCATATAACTTAAGATTTGTGGACTTAAATTCCCAGAATTCCCCATATAACTTAAGACTTGTGGACCTCAACTCCCAAAATTCCCCATATAACTTAAGATTTGTGGACTTAAATTCCCAGAATTCCCCATATAACTTAAGACTTGTGGACCTCAACTCCCAAAATTCCCCATATAACTTAAGATTTGTGGACTTAAATTCCCAGAATTCCCCATATAACTTAAGACTTGTGGACCTCAACTCCCAGAATTCCC